CCTGTCCAATTTTGACACAGCAAAATATGTCTCACTGAATTTAGCCAAGTCCACCAATTTCTGACTTCTAGGGAGAGGAGTGTTCATTCTAAGAAAGAGGTGCACATGAGGGCTTCCCCGGTGGCGCAGCAGTTGAGCGCTGGATTGCGAAGCTGCCCGTGGCCTCTGCCACGCCGGTTCGATCCCCGGCTGCTCCCCGGCCACCGGAGGAGGGTCCCACATGGCGCGTAGACCTCTCCTGCCGCCTGCTGCTCCCCTCAGCAGTGTACTTCGATCCTTCTGCCTGCTCTGTCTCTGGTGAATTCTCTCACCCTCCCGCACTTCTGACTGTACCCAGTGCATGTATAAACAAACAAACAAATAAATAAATAAAACATGCCTCTATTAAAAAAAAAAAAAAAAAAAGAAAGAGGTGCACATGAGATTTGCGTGTTTTTATGGCCAGGTTCTGTTTTTGTAAATAAAGTTTTATTCCAACACAGTTGTACTCATTTGCTTATGCGTTGTCTGTTACCTCTTTTGTGCTACAATAGCAGAGTTGAATTGTTGTGAAAGAGTCCAGGTTTGAATAGATATGACAGTGACCATTTGGGCCATAAAGCATAAAGTACTCACCATCTGGCCCTTAACAACATTTACCAACTTTCACTTTACTTCATAAAAGCAAGACAATAGTAATACTAATAGTAGTCCTACTGTCACGATAGTAATATGGGAACAATAACTTCTGTAATGACTGTAATAATAAAGATAACTTCTGTGGTGAGCCCATTAATTTTGGTCTTAATGCTTGTATTTATTCATTTATTTATCCAACTGATATTTACAGAGTGCCTGTTGGGCATAAAATGGTGATCTTCAGCTAGGATTATTGCCCTTGTTGACTTTACAAGATGCTCCTGTGAACTTGAAGTTCCATTCCAGGACTGTGCTTTCAAAACAAAAGTATAGTAGGAAATAGAATTACCAAATCCTCAAAATAAAACTAATTTGTCAGCTCTATTTATTTTACAAAATTTGGTAACATTCTATATGATATGATGATTACTTCAGTTTTGCGGTGTATGTAATGTGACATATAGAGAAATGATTATGGGCTTAAAGTCTAAATTATTTACTATTGGAGGGCAGCACATCTGGATAGGGCCAGCCAGCTTTGAAGTGCTTATCACAGCAAGCCATGTAGGCTGCTGATCTTAGCTACTTCAATAAAAAAATACTAAACTCCAACAGAAAGAACAGCATACCAAAGTAATAAAGTTTGGAATGCTGTTTAACAAATTAATCTCTTTCTGTTGGTGTGCTTATCTGTTTGCTTATTTGAGTCCTAAAGATTTGTTTCATAATAGGAGGCTATTGAAAGTAATGTAATGAACATAGAATATAGAAAAATATTTTCTATATTTCTCTGGTTCATAGTTTTTTGTTGATTTTGATTTTCACTTTCTTATAGTTATTCATTTTCCTGGTCCCTTATTTAAGTTATCTAGATTCCTGCTATGAGTGGGACCATCCGGTATTTTTCTTTTTCTTTCTGGCTTATTTCGCTGAGCATGATCCCTTCCAGCGCCATCCATGTTGCTGCAAATTGCATGTGTTTATCTTTTTTGAATGCTGAGTAATATTCCATGGTATATATGTACCACATCTTCTTGATCCAGTCATCTATTTTTGGGCATTTGGGCTGTTTCCAAAGCTTAGCTATTGTAAATAGTGCTGCTATAAACATAGGGGTGCAGGTATTCTTTGGAATTGATGTTTCTGTGTCCTTTGGGTAAATACCTAGGAGTGGAATTGCTGGATCATATGGAAGCTCTATGTTTAGTAGGTCCAGAAATCTCCACACAGTTCTCCATAGTGGTTGGACCAGTTTGCACTCCCACCAACAGTGCAGGAGAGTTCCTTTTTCTCCACACCCTCACCAACATTTGTTGTTGCTAGTTTTTTTAATATGTGCCATTCTCACTGGTGTAAGATGGTATCTCATGGTAGTTTTGATTTGCATTTCCCTCATTACAAGTGATGTTGAACATTTATTCATATGCCTGTTGGCCATTTGCATTTCTTCTTCAGAGAAGTTTCTTTTTAGCTCTTCTGCCCATTTTTTGACTGGATTATTTTCTTTGTTGTTGTTGAGTCTCATCAGCTCTGCGCAGATTTTTGTGATCAGTCCTTTATCATTAGTGTTGTGTGCAAAAATGTTCTCCCAGTTGGTGGGGTTTCTCTTTGTTTTCGTTATTGTCTCTTTTGCTGTGCAGAAGCTCTTTAATTTGATGTAGTCCCAGCTGTTTATCTTTGCCTTCACTATCACTGCTTTGGGTGATGTGTCTGTAAAGATGTCTTTGATGTGCAAATCACGTAGTGTTTCCCCTATATTTCCTTCTATGTATTTTATGGTTTCAGGTCTTATGTCTAGTTCTTTAATCCATTTTGAGTTGATTTTTGTGTATGGTGTGAGGTAGTGGTCAAGCTTCATTCTTTCGCATGTAGCAACCCAGTTTTCCCAGCACCATTTATTGAACAAACTTTCTTTGCTCCAATGCATATTCTTTGCTCCTTTGTCAAAGATTAGTTGACCATAAATCTGTGGGTTTATTTCTGGATTTTCTATTCGATTCCATTGGTCTGTATGTCTGTTCTTGTTCCAATACCATGCAGTTTTGATGATTATGGCTTTGTAGTATAGTTTGAAGTCTGGGAGTGTGATGCCTCCATTCCCTTCTTTTTTTTTCAGGAGAGCTTTGGTTATTCGGGGTTTTTTGTGATTCCATATGAATTTCATCAATAATTGTTCTATTTCTTTGAAGAATGACATTGAGATTTTGATTGGAATAGCATTGAATCTGTATATTGCTTTTGGTAGGATGGCCATTTTAATAATGTTTATTCTTCCAATCCATGAGCAGGGGATGTCTTTCCATTTCTTTGTGTCTTCTTCTATTTCTTTTAACAGTGTTTTATAGTTTTCTTTGTATAGGTCCTTTACCTCTTTTGTTAGATTTATTCCCAAATATTTAATTTTTTTTCGATAATAAAAGGAATAGTTTTTTTAATTTCTTCTTCTTCAGATTTATTGTTTGTGTATAGGAAGGCTACTGACTTTTGCGTGTTGATTTTGTATCCTGCCACTTTGCTGAACTGATTGATGAGTTGAATTAGTTTTTCTGTGGAGTTTTTGGGGTTCTCTATGTATATTATCATATCATCTGCAAATAGTGATAGTTTGAGTGAAATTTGCTTTTAATGTTGTTTTAACTCAGCTAGCATTTTCATGTTTGCTCAGCTGTGTTTTAAAGGCAGACACTTGGGTCCCTTTCTCAGTTACAGAGTGACCCCAGACAAATAAAATGGAAATGAAATGCAGTTGACGTGTATCAGTCATAGGTCCTTATGGCCATACTGTCTTCTTCCAGGCCAAGAGATCTTTTAGAAAATGAAAGTGGATGTTTGTTTGGATGTTGTAACAATAGTTAGCGGTGTTTAATATTTCGGAGATGTGAAAATGCATGCGGTCCTGGCAGTGTTTATACATTGCCTAGGAACCATCAGAAAGCAAATGGAATGCCATTTGCCACCTTCTGAGACAGTGATCTGGGTAACTGACGGTACTTTCCTGTGAAATCTAAAACTCTTGTGAGGATTTATCGGAAGAAATCACAGAGGAGGAATGAATACTTTCAATGAATGTGATTAAAATTCCATACTGGTTTGTTTTGTTGCTAAAACTAATAAAGTTAAAGTGTAGTCTTTTTTTCTCTGTGAGCAATAAATGCTATATTCATTAACACCATCTGCCTTTTGCATTTAAAATCTTTTTTAAAATTTAATCCTATCCTTCCTTTTTGTACTCATTTTTAGTTTGGATTTAGAGATAAGTGAAAAATGAGAATTGAGAAACTGAGATAAAATAAACAACACACTTGTTTTCCTTTATAAAGTTGGAAACTGTGGTGTCACTACTTTGGTTAAAAATGAACAGATTTTCTGAAACAAATCTGATGATAGCCCAAATCACTTGATCTGTGGCACTGGAAAAGCTAGATCTTCTGTTCTACATTATATGGGTTTCTCATGTCAAGAACGCCAGCCTCAAGAGCATTTAATTTGTCAAGGCTAGCTAGCTGAAATTTACTTAATCAGTCTCTCAAGTTTTATTTTCAAAGAGGGCAAAGTACTGAGATGCAGATGAATATAACTTGATAGATCAAAATGTGTTTTAATGATTCTCTTGGTTAGAAGTGAAAGAAAACCCAAATCAGACTGTTTGTAGTGAAAACATCTATTGACTCAGGTAATTGAAAGTATAGAGATGGATTTGACTTCAAGAAGGATTTGATATGGGGATCCAAATGATGATGTGAGGCTCTGTCTTGACTGCATGTTCTTGGGCCACAATTGGAGACCTCCAGCAGTTTCAGGCTCACATCGTTACAATGATCATCTATGATTCTGCCAGAATTAGCATACTGGTCACTAGCCTAACTCTGGCTCAGTCACAGTGGCTGTGGACATTGGCCAGTTGTGATTGCATTGCTCAGATCATGTGCTTTACTTAAGGGCCTGCGATCAGCAGGTTTTTAGCTGAAGCATTAATTGCTGACAGTAGGAGTGGTGCCCTTCAGAGGTATTTCAGAGTAGTTATTCGAGGGTCAGTGGGTGCTGGGAGGCAAGCATTGTCATCACCATCATCATTGTCATCATAATTCATGTATCTTCTTGTGGTTTGCAAAGCATGTCCAGATGTATTCTTTTGTATCTCTTTGGTGTATTCCTGAAGGAAGAGCTAGGAGGGCAGAATAAGAAGTGATTGAAAAACGTGGATCTGGGCCAGGCTACATGGTTTCAATTATGATGCAATCAGATTTTGACAGATTACCTTAATTTCTTTGTGCTCTGACTTCCTCAACTTTGCAATAGGGATAAAGGTATCTACATCATAGGCTTCTGGGGATGTTTAGATTAATAGACATTTGTAGGGCACTTAGAACAACGCCTAATGCATATTAGTTTCTTTAGTCTTTGTTATTGCCTTTAGTCTTTGTGAGGGGGCCATCCTAATCTTCTCTGTGCCATTCTAATTTTAGTATATGTGCTGTTGAAGTGAGCACTGCTGTTATTCTTTGGAATTGTTAGACAGGTGGGGATGCTGAAGTTCAGAGTTACATGGCTTATAAAGGTGGCACCGAATCAGTCAGGCCTCCCAACTTCTTCCCTGACTCCACACTTGTCTTTCTTCAAAAATTGATGAGTAGGGGCCTCCCTGGTGGCTCTGCGGTTGAGCGCTGGGTTGCGAAGCTGCCCGCAGCCTATGCGGTGCCGGTTCGATCCCCTGCTGCTCCCTGGCCACCAGAGGAGGGTCCCACATGGAGCGCAGACCTCTCCTGCCGCCCGCTGCTCCCCTTAGCAGTGTACTTCGGTCCTTCTGCCTGCTCTGCTCCCTGCTCTGGTGAATTCTCTCACCCTCCCGCACTTCTGACTGTACCCAGTGCTTGTATGTATAAACAAACAAACAAACAAACAAATAAATCTTTAAAAAAAAAAAAAGACTTTATTTAAAAAAAAAAAATTGATGAGTAGGAGGCCTGCTGTTTGGACCCTGAATGTGTAAGAAGGGCAGTGTTATTTATATTTTATTTGCAAGTTCATCTTTAGCTCCATATAACGGAGTAACACCCCCACCCCCTTCCCCTATATATTTAGGAAACATCACTGTGAAGAAATTCACATTTGGAGGGCACAAACTTGGGATAATTAACATGTCCGGGTTGATACTCACCTTGTAAATGTCTGCTGGTCATTTAATCAGACAGTGTGTTCTTATCTTTATAGGAAACTTAGACTTTTATGGTTGGACTATGATTTGAATCTACCACTATGTGGTAAGGTTGTTATTTCTGACCGTGAGAAGCTTGGGCCACCCCAGAATGCTGCTTTCAAGGTCTTTTAGCCAGTTCTACCAAGAAATAGACACCTTATTAAGAATATTTTCCTTAATAAGAATTTTCCTTATTAAGAAAATATTAAGAATATTTTCCTTATTAAGAATATTTCCCCACAATTTAAGAATTTTGGGGGGAAATTATTCAAATGACTTAATGAAGGAGGCTTGTCCTGGGGAGTCAGACTTCGGCATGACCCCTATATTTAAGGAGGATTATGCTGCTTTCTGAGGACAAAGACAGTGATTTCTTGGTACTTTCTGTGGCCTTGATGCTGGAAACTTAAAATATCACTGTGATAATCTGTTATACACCCCCATATATGCAACTATACATGTAAGGAAATAAAACCCCAATTTTGGCCTTCCTTGTAGTGTTTTTGAGGACAAATGATGCTATTCAGTCTTCCCAAAGCTTGCTCCATGGCCTGACTTGCCTGCTTCACTGCATAGAAAACTGTCCTTCAGAGAGGTTTGTCCTTCCTGGCTGCCACCACATCTAGGATGTGTGAGGCATGTCAGAATTTCTTGAATGAGCAAACTGTGCTTTTGTCTTTATTTTCAACTTCTTTTGACAAGAAATTATTTACCATTGTAGATGTCTTCAGGAATTTGAGCTTCTGTCTGAACACACAGTAGTGTGTTCTTTCTTTAGATGAAGGTGGTGGTGTTTTGAGTATTGATTTCCACACCTGGCTTTATAATGGTATTTATATTCCAAATAACAACACCTATTCATAGTAAGGGGATTAGCCACTAATTCTGTAGAAAAGACCCTCAGTTTGCCAAATGCTTATGGGAATCATAATAGGTTGTTAGATTTAATCCCACTTACTTTGTTCTTAACTCCTTGGGAAGTCTCTGCCTGCTGTGTTGTCTGGAATTGAATATTAATGGCTTCTTCATTGTCTTTAACCTGACCCCATTTTATAGCTGAGGAAACAAGGTCAACCTTGTTTCTTGTAATGTCAGTAACATTGTGTGATGGGCACTGATTTCTCTTGATGATCCTATTCAATGGCCGTTATTCTATAGGTGAGACGCTAAGATTCAGCCAGGAGGTGACTGAGTGGTTATAGGCCTGTTCATCACAGTCACCTCCTGTATTGCTAGGCAGTGTGGGTCAGGCCAGGCCAAGCCTCTCAAATTGCTTGCATGTTATAATTGCCTTTAAGTCTTTGAAAGCACTCCTTGTCCCGATGAATAATCTACCACTAAGCCCCAGCCCTTATGATTTTATTCACTTGTCTGGTATCTCAAGTGAAGTTACTGTGGATGCAGGATTGGGAACCTTTGCTACAGAGCATGGGTCCCTGGAACAGTGGCATTAGCCTCAACCGGTCCCTGGTTAAAGTAGAAATTCTTAGGTCCCACCCAGATCTACTGAATTGAAACTCTGGGGGTGAGGTCTAACAATAACTGTTTTAATAGTCCCTCCAAGTGATTTTTCCTTTAATTGTAAAAAACATGTAACAAAAATTATCATCTTACCCGTATTCAAGTGTATAGTTCAATGATGTTGGTATATTCACATTGTGAGACAGATCTCCACACTTAAGTTCATCTTGCAAATTTGAAACTGCATACTTATTAAAATACTCTTCTTTCCTTTCTCCCATAGGCTCTGTGAGCCACCTTCCTGCTTTGTTTGTTTTAATTTGATTACTTTGGATACCTTATCTACATGTACTTTAGGTGTAGATAAGGTGATGATCATACATACTCAAGTTTGTATGAACATCATACAAAGTAATGTAAACTTAAAAAAAAGAGATGAGTATTATCCAGAATTTGATTTGACTCCTGTCCTTCTAGATTTCCACCCACATCTTTAATATCAGCTGTATTGTACATTTCCAACATAACCTTGTGTGCCTCTCCTCCCTTTAGTCCAGAATCTGCCACTTTGCTGCTGCTGTGTCACTTTGATCAAGTTTTTTTTTTTCCCCTAAAGATTTATTTATTCATGCATACAAGAACCGGGGTACAGGCTAGATGCGTGGGAGGATGAGAGGATTCACCAGAGACAGAGCAGAGAGCAGAACGGGCAGATTGCCTGAAATACACTGCTGAGGGGAGCAGTGGACGAGTCAGGAGAGGTCTGCCGCGCCATGTGGGAATCTCGCTGGCTGGGATCTAACCCGCGCTGCAGAGGCTGCGGACAGCTTCACAACACTGAGCTCAACCACCTGCGGCACCAGGGGAGGCCCTCTAGTTTCCTAATATCGCTTTGGTGGTTTCCTCCTCTCTGTAAAGGGGTTAATCTAATTTGCAGAGTTGTCGTAAACAGGAAATAGTTAGAGATGGCTGAGAGTGTTTTGTAAGGTGTATTCTAATGAAATGCTAAGTGTTAAGTCAAATCTTTTTTAAGTTAGTGTTTATTTTTAGTAACGTTATACAAGCTTGATTTTTCCAAGCTTGTATAGCTGCACAAGACTTGTTCCCTTTATACTGCTGTGCTTCTTCCCCTCCACCCCCAATTTCTTATTTGGTGTCTATTTTACACTGTGTAAATAAGAGTCACAATACCTATAGTTTGATTGCTTTAACTTTCCCTGCGCAAAATTTTGTTTTCCTTGGAGTTAATAATTATTTAAAATAATCTGTGCACCATCAAAGACATCTTTACAGACACATCACCCAAAGCAGTGATAGTGAAGACAAAGATAAACAGCTGGGACTACATCAAATTAAAGAGCTTCTGCACAGCAAAAGAGACAATAACAAAAACAAAGGGAAACCCCACCAACTGGGAGAACATTTTTGCACCCAACACTAATGATAAAGGACTGATCACAAAAATCTGCAAAGAGCTGATGAGACTCAGCAACAACAAAGAAAATAATCCAGTCAAAAAATGGGCAGAAGAGCTAAAAAGAAACTTCTCTGAAGAGGAAATGCAAATGGCCAACAGACATATGAAAAAATGTTCAACATCACTTGCAATCAGGGAAATGCAAATCAAAACTACCATGAGATACCATCTCACACCAGTGAGAATGGCACATATTAAAAAAACTAGCAACAACAAATGTTGGCGAGGATGTGGAGAAAAAGGAACTCTTCTGCACTGTTGGTGGGAGTACAAACTGGTCCAACCACTATGGAGAGCTGTGTGGAGATTTCTGGACCTACTAAACATAGAGCTTCCATATGATCCAGCAATTCCACTCCTAGGTATTTACCCAAAGGACACAGAAACATCAATTCCAAAGAGCACCTGCACCCCTATGTTTATAGCAGCACTGTTTACAATAGCTAAGCTTTGGAAACAACCCAAATGCCCAAAAGTAGATGACTGGATCAAGAAGATGTGGTACATATATACCATGGAATATTACTCAGCATTCAAAAAAGATAAACACATGCAATTTGCAGCAACATGGATGGCGCTGGAAGGGATCATGCTCAGCGAAATAAGCCAAAAAGAAAAAGAAAAATACCGGATGGTCTCACTCATAGCAGGAATCTAGAAAACTTAAATAAGGGACCAGGAAAATGAATATAAGAAAGTGAAAATCAAAATCAACAAAAAACTATGAACCAGAGACACTTTTTGGGGGGTGGGGGGCGGGAGGGGAAGGATTGGGGTCAGAATGGGGCGTTTGCAATTGTATGGGGGAATATAAAAATAAAATTTAAGATTAAAAAAAATAAAAATAAAATAATCTGTGCACTTAACCACTAATTTAACCACAAACATCCTTCCACGTGGCTCTTCTCCCAGGATCTTCAGGCAATTATTGTCTTACCAATTCGATATTTTATCAGCTTGGTCTTCTTGATGAACTCTTCCCTGGAGTCTTATGCTGTGCTCCAGTCTTGCCTCCTCTCCTGTCTGCTGTGCCTCATATCTTGAGATAGACTCTTCCATAAGTACCATTTTTTCCTGCTCCTATATGAGCCTCCCCGCGTCCCTCACCAGATATTCTTGTCTTTCTTGGTTTACTCCCTCATTCTGGCAAACCATATCTTCTGGAACCTTCCTACCAAAAGTTCCGTCAGGTAAGACTTTTAAGTTGTTATATCTCTGAGAACGTCACATTCATATTTAAGTTATAGTCTGCCTGGTGTAGAATTTCTAACCTGGAGGTTGGAAATTTCTGAACCTCAGATTAGTAAATGTGTTGCTCACTGTTTTCTGGCTTCTAATGTTGATGGTGAGACGTC